AATAAACAGATAATATATGCAGATTAATTGTATTAATGCCAATGGATATACCTACTATTCTATCAGTTTTCATCTTAATATGCGATACATTTTTAAGAGTTTTTCTGTACCCAATAGCAACTCCCCCTTGACCAAAAATCATGCCTTTATGCATAGGGTTTAGTTCACTACTGCACATGGGTAAAACTTCAAATTCACTGTTAATCATTTTAAGATCATTTGCATTATCTGGAAATAGCATGTGTTCAGACAAAGCAATCACATCAGCACTTTGCATTAAATATCGAACATAGTTCTCTCCAGTTCTAATGCCATTTACATTATACCCTATAATGGACAGACTCATCGATAGAATAATTATGTAAGTGATAGTCATCATTTTGTATGTATAAATTCAACATTAACATGTAGCTAATCAACATTATCATTTCCATAACGCCTGTCCCATCCGTTACTGTCAAAGCGGGGTGGTGTAACTAGTCTGGTGTAGCGAGTCTGATGTTGTCCTTTGTCTTTATTATTAGAACGTGATGGATATCGCTGCCATTCTCGACACTGAATGTTTGAATCGGGCCAAAAATAAGGATCTTTCATTTCTACAATTGACAATAACGGTACTACTACTTTCACCCCAATGCTATCGTCGAACATCTTTTTTCGAATAATGTTACATCTCATCACTCGAATACCGTTGTCGATCAGGTGCTGCTTTACTAGGCCCATTGCTATGTCAGGTGTCACATCATTACTTACAGCAACATTGTCAACGTACATATGTATTGATTGCTCATGTTTTACACCTTTTAACTGTGGCTTTTTTTCAGGTTTAGATTGTCTCCTCGATCGAAGTTTCTGTTTTCGTGTCTGTGCTGTTTCCCATGTTGTACTCATACGGGTGTTTTGTTTTGGTTCCTTGTCATCATGCTCATTTATTATTTGTGCCCATGTTTTTCCATTGGTGCTGATTGTGTCATACATGTCACATATGGATTCATCATTTTCAAGTGTTTTATCATTTTCATCACATTTGGATTCAGGATTTTCCTGCTCAACCACAACAGGTTTGACTGTATTAGGATCACACTGTACACTTTGACCTGGCACAGTTTTTGACACTGTTTTGGTTTTTCCGCTTGCATGGCTGATAACTCCATTGTCAAACTGTCCACTAACAGGCACCACTGAGTTGTTTGTATCTGAGTTCAAAATGAGCTTTGTTATTGTTAGGGCATCTCTACGACCTCGGCCTCTGCCAAACGAAGTATTATAAGTTGAAATAACTTTTGGAGTGCTAACAATATTAGGGTTAATTAGCGCATTTAAGGTCCTTTGTGGTTCATTGAGGTCAGGTATTGAAGGTGAAGAAATAGGGCTACCTACTTGTAGTGTTGGCCCTTTCAACAAAGTTCGCTGTATAGATTCCATCTGTTGTCTCATATCATCCATTTCTTCATTGTGTTTCTCCTCAATCTTATCCATTTTATCTTTTAGTTCAACAATAGTATTCATAGCCATTGCTAGTTTAGCGTATAATTCCGTGACTTTTGATCTGAGAGGCTTCATAATATCATCCTTCAAACTTGGCAATGTTGACAGACTTTTACTAGATAATATAGTTTTGGGGAAATCATCATTATCACAGTTATCTGATATATATGTAAACATATCATAGATATCCACAGCAATATTAGCCATCTTTCCATCTCCAGTTCTATTCACTAGTTTCAAATCTGGCTGCCTATATTCCTCATCTTTTATTTCATATAGGGCTATATACTGTTCCTTTAATTCACATAATAATTGTCAAGGAGGTACAATGTTTTATTACCCTCTTAATTTTCTGATCGAAGCATAAATAGCGTTCACTTCTGTACATGTTTTCTGAATAAATACAATATTATAAATTGTTTATTACAGGTATATAATATATACAAGGAAGGTATATATAAATAGCTTACCTTTTGTTTAACAGGTGCTTTAAGGATGATATCCAATTATCAACAGCTGTAGGTGTATTCATAAGGGGAGGAGGGGACAATGAACAAAGTTCATTTCATAAGGGGAGGAGGGGACAATGAACAAAGTTCATTTCATAAGGGGAGGAGGGGACAATGAACAAAGTTCATTTCATAAGGGGAGGAGGGGACAATGAACAAAGTTCATTTCATAAGGGGAGGAGGGGACAATGAACAAAGTTCATTTCATAAGGGGAGGAGGGGACAATGATCAAAGTTCATTTCATAAGGGGAGGAGGGGACAATGAACAAAGTTCATTTCATAAGGGGAGGAGGGGACAATGAACAAAGTTCATTTCATAAGGGGAGGAGGGGACAATGAACAAAGTTCATTTCATAAGGGGAGGAGGGGACAATGAACAAAGTTCATTTCATAAGGGGAGGAGGGGACAATGGACAAAGTTCATTTCATAAGGGGAGGAGGGGACAATGATCAAAGTTCATTTCATAAGGGGAGGAGGGGACAATGATCAAAGTTCATTTCATAAGGGGAGGAGGGGACAATGGATAAAGTTCATTTCATAAGGGGAGGAGGGGACAATGGACAAAGTTCATTTGATAAGGGGAGGAGGGGACAATGATCAAAGTTCATTTCATAAGGGGAGGAGGGGACAATGGATAAAGTTCATTTCATAAGGGGAGGAGGGGACAATTAGGATAAAGTTCATTTCATAAGGGGAGGAGGGGACAATGGACAAAGTTCATTTCATAAGGGGAGGAGGGGACAATGGACAAAGTTCATTTCATAAGGGGAGGAGGGGACAATGGACAAAGTTCATTTCATAAGGGGAGGAGGGGACAATGGACGAAGTTCATTTCATAAGGGGAGGAGGGGACAATGGACGAAGTTCATTTCATAAGGGGAGGAGGGGACAATGAACAAGGTTCATTTCATAAGGGGAGGAGGGGACAATGAGGGAGGAGGGGACAATGGACGAAGTTCATTTCATAAGGGGAGGAGGGGACAATGATCAAAGTTCATTCCATGAGGGGAGGAGGGGACAATTATTTCTTTGGTGAAGAATTTTAATTTTTGGAAAAATCCAAGTGAGGGGTGAATCAAAATTTTGTTATATAAGAGATTGAGGGAGTTGCATCATAACACCTAATGTATGACAATTACATGTAAAACTCAGAATGGCAACTGAATCTGTTAATTTTAATCAAAATAAAATCATCTCTGTTTTTTCACAACTGTAGACAACTTGACATCATCCTTATATGTATATATTATTCACTACTAACATTTACCCATAACCTTTACAATTATTAAATCATAAAAAATTATGTAATATTTTGATACGTCACAACTCTTGTGTAACACATGAAAATATTCACGAAAAGTTTTTGCAAATCGTCTGATATATCAAATTATCAACTGGTCATGTGACCTAATCTGTCCAATCACAGTCTGTTTCTTTACTTTGAGATGCAATAACCTTTAATATAACATGTTTGATGGCTTTCTGGTCATTTTCAGTTCTAAGAATGACATGACACCAAACACAAGTTCTACTTTCTCTGGCCTTTTACAGCACAATTTTGATATTTGAAATATTCCACATAAAAATTTCAGATATACAGGGTTACACAAAAATGCAATCCATTAAAGGTGCAACAATTAGTGCAGGGGGGCCATTCAACATCTTCGACCAGTGTCAAAATATATTTAAGTTTGGGTATTTCATCAAGACTAACATATATTTTCATTATCTACAAAGAAACCCCCTGGATGAACATTATTTCAGCTGATATTCCTCTTGAAACGTGGTCGATCTTAAAAATCTATAAGTGGGACTCCCTTTATAGAAGCTTTGAACTGAATCTACACTTCTTAATGCTGAAATTGATGGTTTATACATACATTTTAAGAAGATAGGTGTGTCAAGGAACGTGTTAAGCCAAATATTGACATGATAGCTCAGAAAAAATAAAAAATTTCGGATTTTCTCTCTACAGTCCTTGTTGCCCCTTTAACTTTGGAATACTTTCTCGATTATGATGATGGAATCTCCATGAAATTTCCGATGAACACAACCTACACAACAATATAGCCCCAAATGATGCTATAAAAATCATGAAGATTCAATCAAGAAAGCAAGTTTTATGTGCTGCCTGGCGAACCGCAAGACCCCTATCAGCAACAGACAAGACAACAACATAGCACTTTAGAAAAGCAGCGCTTGCATTAGGCTCTGAAAAATGTGAGTCCCAATGAAGGAAAAAAATTTAAAAAGTGAGTCCCGACCGAAAAAAGTGTGTCCTCCAATATATAAGCTAAATTAGCTATAATGGGCTATTTTGGAATGTGCATGACTTGATCTTACATGTCTTATGTGTTTTCAAAATGTTGCCATTCGTGCCCTGTGATTTAAACATGTTCCTTATATTCAATTCACTTATGTTACACATGTATGTAACCTCCAGCCTGTTATAGTAAAAACTATTATACTGTGATTATCTTTATACTTGCTGTTTGCACTGAACATTTTTTAGTATGAATTTGACGCTCAGTAATTTAGTGTATCACTACATTTTCTACATGATCAGAATCCTCTGATTTATATCATAAATTAGACCATTTTGACGTTATATAATCACAAATAGACTACTTCACCTAGGTAAGTATGCATCATTTGTACAATTGAACTCATTTTGAAGGTTTTATATCAGCTTTTCAGTGAGAAAAATATGTCACATGCAAACTGATAACCTATTATCGCCCATTACAATAGTTCGTTTTTCTGCATTCTTTTTCTTTTTTACTCAAAATGAAGTTGTAAATCTCACATATTTTGATCTTATATACACCTCAAAGAAGTCAAACATGATCAACTATTGAGATTTTCAAGATTTTCAAAAAATGTTCAAAGTTTTGACTCAATTTTTTTTCCGTCCCAAAAACGGAAATATTTTTTATTTTTCCGTCCTACAATTTTTTTTTGCGTCACTTACATGTAAGAGACGCCGTTAATGCAAGCCCTGGAAAAGTGATAAAAATTCGAGGGTTTCATTTTTGTATCACCCTGTATCTGTAATATGTAAAATATTGAGGTAAGTTGTTAAATTGTCTATACTTATTCAGATAACATACAGCATTGCTAATAATACATTGAGCAATTTTGTCTTTATAATGATCATTAAGTAATATAACGTTTAAGGAACACAGCTGATCAAATTCAAGATTAAATATATAATATTAAGTCATTTTTACTCAAAATATTAATTTAATGAAATTAAAATGTTGAATTGAATTTTACTGGGAATACAATTTAAATTCAGTATTAAATGCAATTATGGATTGAATGAAATTGAATTGTTGAATTGAATTTCACTGAAAATATATTTCAAATTCAGTGCTTTATACACATATTAATTGAATCAAATGTAAATACATTTTAAATTAAATGCAGTGCTAATTCCTGATTATGTCACTGCCTAATTGAAATTAATTAAGTCCAAAATTGATTAATGACATCTTCCAAACCATTTCGATGTTGCTTCTCAATCATCTCATATCCAAATTGCTTTTCAGAAAAATACTGAATTATTCATAAATGATGATGTTAATAGTGGCAGGGTTGTCTCCACACTAACAGAGTCCCCTTCACACTAACAGAGTTCTCTCCACACTAACAGAGTTCTTTGATAGTCTTCATGATAATGTTTGTTTGGTTGATGAGGAAGTTCGCACTCAAGAAAACCTCTTGCTTCCTGGAAACACGAAGAAAACATTGATTTAATAGCCCAGTGGGGTCAAACGTGGTCAAGTAAGGAATAAATATATCACTGACTTAATTGCCCTGTGGAGCATAGGATGATCTATTTTGAACTATTTGAACCAAATACCTTGGTCTTTTTGTCACCTTTTGTAATTTTTTATCCCTACACTTTATGCTCATTTCTTGCGTGCTCAAAAATTTTTTAAATATACTTTTTGGCAAGACAGTTAATTGTTGACTTTTGCCAAATATGGAATCACTCAAAATGTTCTTTGCCAAAGATGGAGTCCGTAATATGTTCACACGATCAGGGACATTTTAAAAAGACTCATAAAAGTCATTCACTATATTTTGCACGAGGATACCTAATTAGACAGAGCAGTGGGTCAATTCCAAGTGCCTGTGATTCTTCATGTTTAATAAACATTATGTGTAAAGATGATGTATAAATATGAAGACATCGCAGGTTTTTTTAAACCTAAACTACATGAAGCTTACAAACTCATAGCCAAGGAATTGTTTATTAAGCAACTTACTGATTATCTTTGAAGAATTCTTTCAATGTGTTGCTGAACTTTTTAGAATAGCGAACAAACTCTCGTTTCTTCTGTTCAAGATTCTGAAAATAAAAGAATAAAATCTTGTGTTATCTGCATGAGCTACAAACAGTACCTAGATCTCCATACATCGCCACACCTTTTCCACACTTTGCCACGGCTATTCTATTCTATCTCACCAATGAATATAAAATCGGACATAATCATATTTCAAGTGCTACGGAGTTATACATAACTAGTAAAAGGTGAACTGTCAAATGAAAATAAAAGTAATGACCAGTTGGGTTATTAGCCACTGATACCAAAACAGTCATACTTAAAGGCCCCATATAAAGTTTAAATCACTTTGGCTTATATTGTAGTTTTACCCAATGTTATCAAAACGTGATACATGAAACTTTTTTTAAACTTCAAAAAGTGCTTTTTGAAGCACTTTTCATTGAGAGTGACATTTGATACGACCATAAGATGTCCCAAAATCAAGATTCATCCAACTATATACAAACCTGTTTATTACTCTGGCCTTGTATGAATCGGAAAACATTATTTACAGCATCCAACAGGTTCTTAATGGCACTAGCTATGTCCCTGGAAAATACAACATATTTGAACATTATTTACAGCATCCAACAGGTTCTTAATGGCACTAGCTATGTCCCTGGAAAATACAACATATTTGAACATTATTTACAGCATCCAACAGGTTCTTAATGGCACTAGCTATGTCCCTGGAAAATACAACATATTTGAACATTATTTACAGCATCCAACAGGTTCTTAATGGCACTAGCTATGTCCCTGGAAAATACAACATATTTGAACATTATTTACAGCATCCAACAGGTTCTTAATGGCACTAGCTATGTCCCTGGAAAATACAACATATTTGAACATTATTTACAGCATCCAACAGGTTCTTAATGGCACTAGCTATGTCCCTGGAAAAAACAACATATTTGAACATTATTTACAGCATCCAACAGGTTCTTAATGGCACTAGCTATGTCCCTGGAAAATACAACATATTTGAACATTATTTACAGCATCCAACAGGTTCTTAATGGAACTAGCTATGTCCCTGGAATATATACAACATATTTGAACATTATTTACAGCATCCAACAGGTTCTTAATGGCACTAGCTATGTCCCTGGAAAATACAACATATTTGAACATTATTTACAGCATCCAACAGGTTCTTAATGGCACTAGCTATGTCCCTGGAAAATACAACATATTTGAACATTATTTACAGCATCCAACAGGTTCTTAATGGAACTAGCTATGTCCCTGGAAAATACAACATATTTGAACATTATTTACAGCATCCAACAGGTTCTTAATGGCACTAGCTATGTCCCTGGAAAATACAACATATTTGAACATTATTTACAGCATCCAACAGGTTCTTAATGGAACTAGCTATGTCCCTGGAAAATACAACATATTTGAACATTATTTACAGCATCCAACAGGTTCTTAATGGCACTAGCTATGTCCCTGGAAAATACAACATATTTGAACATTATTTACAGCATCCAACAGGTTCTTAATGGCACTAGCTATGTCCCTGGAAAATACAACATATTTGAACATTATTTACAGCATCCAACAGGTTCTTAATGGCACTAGCTATGTCCCTGGAAAAAACAACATATTTGAACATTATTTACAGCATCCAACAGGTTCTTAATGGCACTCGCTATGCCCCTGGAAAATACAACATATTTTTTAAAACATTTTGTCGTTTCTTAGATGTTCCTGGAAAATAAAAATTCCCGTAAACATTTAAACAATATCTTTAAAATTAAATCTTTCAACGTTAATATATTATACATTACATACAGTAGATGCTAATTGTGAATTGCTTTGGACAACATGCAAAGATTCATTTCCAGTTTCAAAATTCAATATGTTCATGTAATTTAACAGCTTGCGAAAAAGCAAAATTAGATATCTCCAAATCAATGAAAGATACCAACAAGAATACAGTATACAGGGTGTCCCGAAAGTATGGGGCCCCCCCTAGGCAGACATATACCAGTGTCGTCATAGTATGTGTCATATATCATTTTAAAGCTTATCCAAAGTTACATTGATTCGCCAAGTATCATGGTTCAACTCTCAAATGTGAAAAAAATTACAGGCATTTCAAAATTTAGTGTTTGGTCCTCTGAGGACACTGGAATATGTCTGCCTAGGGGGGGGGGGGGGCATACTTTCGGGACACCCTGTACAGTGTACTTACTTTATTGTTTCCAGAAACTTTTTCCTATCATATATTTCTAGTGGGATTCTGCTAAGTATTTTCTTTAAAGCCAGTGCTCTGTGATTCAAATGTCGGAACGGTTCCTCCGGCCTTACTATCCTGAACTCTGAAAGTCATAAAAATGGTGATGTTAAGAGCATATACCCTCATACATATAGATTCTTCAGAGCCAGTGCTCTGTTATTCAAATGTCAGGAGTTCACCTCTTAAATCCAAATTTAGTCAGGAGAAAACCCTATTTTTAGCTTATTATGATAAAAATATTCAGGTAAAATCTCACCAAAAATTTCCAATAAATCTAAGAATATCTCCAATATAAAGAGAATGTAACCACCTAGTTGAAATACAAATGTAACAATATGTTACAGATAGAGGTGTCACGGTTTCCCGATATTGGACCGAATTTCGGTCAAGATGCTTCGGTTCGGGACATGGAACAGAAAGGGTTAATATCGTTCCGATTTCGGTATCGGTCTTTTTTATTTCTGAATATGATTTTGAAAAGTGAAACTGTCATTATCAGACATTGCATCATTTTTTAATGTTCTGTCCCGTCCCGAAAGTACCGTGTCCTGAGACCATTTGTACCATTCCGTACCGTACCAAATTTTTTTTGGACCATAACACCTCTAGTAAAAGAGACTGTGAGATTAACACTTTTTGGTGATGACATAAAAATGAAGTGCTACAATTCATGTCGAAGAATTATCTCTAACAGTCTTGAAAAAAACCAAGATGTGGACTTTCCACTTGCAAACAAACTGTATGCTATTATGTTAAGAATTCACATCAACTAAATCAAATAATATCTTTAATATAGAGTATGCTGAGTGTTATTTCTTTAAAAGGGTACTTACCTTCTGTATCATTTGTACCCTCTAAGCGCAGCAGTGTTTCACTAAGATCTATGTGATTTCCAAGTTCTGCTTTATGTAGCACACCACGTATCAGTTCTATACAGAAGCCAGGGTGTTGGTTTTCCACCTTTAAACAGTAAACAGATAGTATAAATGTATAAGGCCCTTATAGATAAATTTTAAGTTAAACAGGATATAATATGAAAATCAGAAAATGGTAAAGGCAAGTCAAAAACAAAAACAAGTAAAAATCCTGAAATCCTGAAAAAATTAGTTAGGAGCCATTGGAATGACAAGGTTACTATCAAACAAACATTTAATTTGTAAGCATATCAAGATGCATTTAATTTCATTATAGTTTGCATGATATGCTGTTTACTATGGAAACGTAAAGTACTTATCATAAGCTGCTTTGAGAAGAAATGCCAAAACATAAAGGCCAAATAAAAGATCAAGCTTGTCAAAATATAAATGATTAATATTGGCACACAGCTTCAGGGAAGCCCCAGTAATTGATTCTTTAATTGTCACTTTTATTCATTAACATCTTAATTACATCAATTAATAGTTAATAACAATAGAGAGTGAATACTTTAAATTCTATTCATGACACAAAATATCTAGAACTAACATGTGGTTCTATAGCTAAAAGTGGCTCTATTTACGATATGTTGACTTTTGCCTTACATACGCTGTTCTTTTTTAACAACTAAACATATATTTTATTGCTCTTTTTGGATCAAATATGACATAACCCCTGTCATGGGTCAGTGTAACAGAGCTCCATACTACAGTGACATCTTTTTAACTTATACAAAACTTAATGACATTAAATGTACCTACCTTCGTTAGAGCTGCCCTGAGTGTCTGTGAAGCTGCCATATCTTTTGCCTCAAGCTGAAACAAAAGACAACATTCTTAATAAGAAATAATGTTCACTACTTTGTTGCCTATTTGCTCCATTAAGCAGTGATCTCCCCAGCATTAAGGGGAGGCATCAAAAGTTCGATGTCGGATAGAAAACTAAATAAATCTAGTTAGGGGGGGGGGGGTTCAAACCCATTTCCGTTTGCTATTCGACAAATTTCAACATTTCAAACTTTTGGCTATTTCGACTCAGAATGCCTTGGAATGGTATAAAAATAAAGATTTTACCTGCTGCTTTCTTCGTCAAGATCATTCCAATGGATTCTATTCTATCAATAATTTTTAAAAGCCGCAAATAACGAGAGGAATTAACAAAAACTAGATCATGTTTAGCAACAATCTTTCAAATTCTCAAACCGGAAGTAAGCGATCAACTTTCATGGTATTTAATTTTTGGGGGGAGGGGGGGTCAGAGTCAAAACTAGATTTATTTAGTTTCTGATCCGACATCGAACTTTTGATGCCTCCCCTAAAGCAAGTGGGCGCAGCACCCATCTGAGATTTTGAAAATATGCTTGCACCCGCCTAAAAATCCATTTGCATCCCCTTGAAAATGAGAAAATCATGAAAATTTGCATTTTTTCACCAATTTTGGTCTAAACTGTGAAAAGGGGAATTATGCACCCACCTGAGAAAAAATCCTGGGGAGATCACTGTAAAGGTATCTATCAACTTGTTTATAGTCATAGAACAGGTTGGATTTATTTACTCTAGTTGATTGAAAATCTTAGAAAACATGAAGTTTTTTTAATATCCAAGATTATTCATATTTTAAGGTCTTGGCAATTTGGAGTAAATGAATTACTCATTGCTCCTGTGTAATGATACAAGGGTCATCTAGTTTATACGGATCAACCAGATTTTCTTCACTTTTATAGTTTGACTCATATAAACTTTGACTTACATGGATGACTTTGCTTTTCAATATTCTAGTTTTAGTATACTTAGCTTACTTATTAAAGCTAGGGTCTAAAGTCTCAGTCATATTTGCTCTAACGCAGCAGACGTAGCATAAAAAATTGACGTACTGCTGCCGTGTATCAAATGTGACGGAGGCATAGGCCTAATCTTATATCTACGAAAATCAATCAATGAATCAAATAAAAACGATAAATTCTAACTTCGAATTCGATCTAGAAATTCAAAATGACTCAAATTTGGTAAAACGTCAAATGTCGACTTACCTTTTCTAGAATAGGTCCTATTACAACAGGCAAAGCCATTGAAGAAAACAGACTTTCCTCTCCCATTGTCATTCTTGCTTCTTTGTAAAGCTGTCTTTCAAAATATCAAATGAAAAATTGACTCCACCCAAAAAGTAGGTCAAAATAAAAACTTGTTTTACAGTTTCAAATCGTGAAAATCGTGTACTATCCTTCCTTCGAGAATCTTAAATCGTTCCAATTATATGCCTAGATATTCCTATTTATGTTACCCACGTATACGTAGAAACTGTTGACTTCATCATCACATATTTTACAAATTAATCAGTGAAATTCCTTCGGATGAAAGTCGAATACGGATTCTAGGAATCAGGTCATTGCCTCGTTTTGATAATTTCTCACTTTTTGAAGAGCTCTACAATAACAACAGGTGTCGGGTGCGGCGAAAGCAGAGAAATAACTCGATCAAAGTGTAATAATAACTCAATCAACGATTGGACTGAAATGGGAGAATTAATATAACGTACTAGCCGTGCCATAAGTCTAGACATGACATGAGACATCGTGTTATTGTCCGAATGGAGCGCCAGCTGTGTCACTTTTGAAATAAAAAAAGTTTCAAATTCTTTCAACTTTTGAACTTGAAGTTGAGACTTCAAAAGAAATTCAGTTCAACAGCAAGTCGGAAACAATATGGGACTTACAGTGGTACAGCGTTATGCACTGCGTGGTTGGCTTGCTGTCATAGGAGGTGTTTTGGTGCATCTTACCCTGGGGACGTTGTACACATTTGGTAAAGTCTCTGATATAATCCCATGACAAATGTAATCACATGACTTTGATCACGAGACTCTATACCATATTCTATCCAAAGAGAACACATTATCAAAGAGTATACAATTTTATCGAGACCATAATTACATGACTGCATTCTGGTGTGCCAGAGCCAGAAACCCTCTTATCTACCATTCACCTTGGAAGGATAAAGATAAAGGGGCTTAAAGGAATATTCCCTGCCAGACCCTTTCTCTCTTGATATGGTAGCTATAATCATATATATAGTTTCCATATTTAGCAAAACATGGGAAAATGTTTTAATATGGTCAATATTGATCATTTAAAAATCTAGTGCTTATTTCCAGTGAGCTGCCATCTTTTAAGATTTCTTGCAAGAAATGATGTCATCAACTCTCAATTTCTATAACCTTGCCCATAACAGTATAGGAAAGTAGCACAAAATCACTTCTAGACAAGTGATCATTACTTTCTGTGCAAAAATATTTTCAGGGCTTGTCAACTTAGAATAAAAGAAGAGATTTTCAGAAGGATTAAATAAGATACAAAGTTGAAAAAGAATATTTAGCTGGTTTTGTAATTCTTAATAGATCCTCACCTAATGCTATATGCAAAGTTGAGAGTCGATGACATCACTTCCTGTGTGAAATTTTAAAAGATGGCAGCTTACTGGAATTGAGCATCACATTTCTAAGTGATCAAATTTGACCATATCAAAACATTTTTGCGTGTTTTGCTAAACATGGCAAGCATATATATGGTTATAGCTACCATATGAGGAGATAGATGGTTTGGCAAGGAATATTCCTTTAACTGTGATCGCATGACTCCATAATGAATATTATTTACATAGTCAAATCTAACCATAATGAGCATAGTGACTTTATTACCTGATATATGAATTATCTTTGATAAACATCTATTTTCTTTTAAGGAAATATGACCCCATATATCACATCCTATATCCGAGCCAGGAGTGAACCAACGGGACTGCGTTACTCTGAAGGTGTATGGATATTTGCCATCAGTGGTGGATCACAGGGTGCAGCCATGTTTTTAGGCGGTGTATTTGCTAAGAAAATAGGGCCGAGGTTAACCACTCTACTTGGTGCATGGATAATGAGGTATGCCAAAGTATCCCGTCACTTGCTGTTTGATTCTTCTACACTTATAACAGTGAAACCTGTAAAGCAGAACACCTCTAGAAGTGGAATATCTCTGTTAGCTTTTGAGAGTTCAAATACCAACGGTCTTGTCATTACATGAACCTCTATAAGTGCAACACTTCCTGTGTGGAACACTTTTTATTAGAGGTACCAAAGGTATTCCACGTGGACAGGTTTAACTGTACATGTACTGAATCTTTTCAACAATTAAGATATGAACTGAAATATATGTTGAATAATCCTTTCTTTGCCTGATTTTACATGTATATATACATGTACTTTATAAAATGCTTGATAATCTCATCTACACTAAATAACTACATAATGATGATTCTTTAAAATTATTTTGCAGTCTTGGTACGTTGCTGACCTACTTCACAATAAAGTCTTCCTTCTATGTGTTACTTCTGACTTATGGTGTGATGTATGGGGGAGGGACTGGTATAGCCTACGCAAACCCCCTTGCTTGCGGCATGAAGGTAAGTGAGCCATGATCGATGTAATTTTAAATTCTTTATGGATAGAGTATCTCTTGGAATTCCAATGTTTGATCATAAAATTTCAAGAAAATAATGATCCAAAAATATGAAAATAAATAAATAGCCTAATTAAAACGAATAAATGATAAAAAGATAATAGTCACTGAAATGATTTTAATCATGAACCTCTTTATGTTTTCATAGTGGCTTCCAAACAACAAGGGACTTGTGAATGGTATTATCGTAGCTGGGTTTGGTGCTGGAGCATTCATATTTGACCAAGTCCAGACTGCATTCATCAACCCAGGCAACCTGAAGCCAAATATCACAATGTACAGCAATAACGAAAAGTAAGCAACAATAAAAAGTAGTGATGGAATAAAATTGAAATATTTGATTAAATTTAGAAATAAATGATTTTTGCCAGTTTTACCAGATTTTGAATAGTTTTTTTGGCCCAAACAGAACAACTGCTGCCATCTATATTATCCATCAATATAGAAATTGATGTGTCCTGCTCCATTTTGTTAGTTCTCCCTCGTTATTTCACCACCTAAAGTGGTGATATATTGTTATGGTCTTTAACTTTTTTTTGTAACGGCAGTTGGTGTTCGAGTTTGGCACCTGTAACAAATAGCAGGTGGTGATATTTTGCATGTTAATGCCTTTTGATCTGATGCCAAGTTTTATGGAATAGTTTCGGCTTCGGGGAATCTCATCCTTAAAAGATCCATGTAAAGTGTCAACATTACTAGATCCAGCTGAATGTCTTTAGACCCATTAAAAGGGTTTATTCCAAAAATAGGATCTCTTAAAAATTGAATTATTATAACTCTGTAAAGTTTGAATGTGTTTCATCAAATATAATTGGTCTTGTCTTTTATTTCATACAAATATATTTTTTCAAGTAATTACATTTCCAAACAACTTTATATTCACATTTTTAAGTGTGTAAAATTCAGATTTTATTGCAGATATTTTGGGCAGCCTGTTGTATTGGATAACATTCCACCTGTCTTCCTCCTGTTGGGAGCAATCTATGCTGTCATGCAACTATTGGGTATATTACTCATCGCAGAACCTCCAAAAATACAGGTAAATGATAATCTCTAATGTTTTCAAAAAAATCAAATTCTTCCCACTGAATTCTGCATACTATAAGGCCAATCTCAAAGTTTTTTAATTAATAGGGCCCCAAAGTTTCACACTAGATTCTATTCATTGTTGATAAAGTGGCGATATTTCAAACCAGCCAACTGTCTGCAGTGGTAATGAAGTGAGAGTTCATCAGAAGATCACTCTAAGGTCCATGTATTGTGCAGTATGGCAAGTGATTTTAGACAGTTATATCTTTTGGCATGAGTATTTTCTGGCATACAGTTGTTTTAATTAATTCTAATTATAAGGGGTCCAAAGTTTCACACTAGATTCTATTCATTGTTGATAAAGTGGCGATATTTCAAACCAGCCAACTGTCAACAGTGGTAATGAAGTGAGAGTTCATCAGAAGATCACTCTAAGGTCCATGTGCAGTATGGCAAGTGATTTTAGACAGTCATATCTTTCACCATGAGTACTTTCTGGCCATCAACACAGTTGTTTTTATTAAAACAATATGTTCTCTTTCAAGTGAAGTCCCCATGATGGTAAAATATTAATCCAACTCTCTGAAAAATGATGGACCTTTGTGTTTGAGAGAATTCTTTTATAAAAATATGTTAGGTTGATTAAATGATGTTTCCATACTATGCTTTGCTTCACCAGCTTTTTATTGGTACTAGACATGAAAGTCCCACTAGAGCAGGTGGAAAACATATAATTTACAATGAAAACACAAAATGGGCCTAATCTCAACATTTAATTTGAGAAAAATGGGACGCAAATTTTGCCTCATGTGTGGTCAAATTCCATATCTGCCTTTGTAAAACAAAGGGCTAACTTCATCGATTGCATACATGTGTGACAATGCTTTCATGCTTTTATTAATAGGATGAAAATCAAAAACTACTATCTTCCTCCAAGGATGATGATGATAATTGTAGTCATGACAACACTTATGACATCACAAAGCAAGCCTCCAGCGATGAGGAGAATCATTCCATAAGAGCTGATTGGGAGACTCATATTACTGAAATTCCCAGTGTTCATCCAAGGGACGTTTTGAAAACTCGACATTTTTGGACATTATGGGCAACTTTTCTAGTCAATGGTCAAGGCATTGTTTTCTTCTCATCATTATATAAGGTAGGGTTAAGCATGTAATATGATTGTACACAAATGGACAGTCAAGTCCATTAACACTTCTTACTCAAAGTTTTATGCTTCATGTTTAAACTTTCAAGTAGAATAAAGGAATATTTGAAATTACGGAAATACATGTACTGTAGATTTATTTAATTGTATTGTTGCAGAAATGCATGATATTGCAGAAATTCTCAAAATTCAGAGAAATATTTTTTGTGTTTTCAAGAACTGTCATGTGATTGTAGGCATATGGCCAGACATTTATAGCTGATGACCAATTCTTAGCACTTGTGGGTGCATTTGCTGCTATATTCAATGGTTTTGGTAGAATATTCTGGGGACACTTTGCTGATAGATTCTCTTATAAGGTAACTATATATTATAAAAAAAGCAGGCCCGTCGCCAGGGGGGGGGGTTCGAGGGGTTTGAGCGAACCCCCTCTGGCCAAAAGTTCTTTCAAAATCTTGCAGTTTTTCACCATTCTGAGCACTTTTAAGTGATTTTGGCCAATTTTTGGACCAAAATTGTCCAAAGTGAACCCCCCTGGAATTTTCCAAAAAGTGAACCCCCTTGGCAAATCCTGGCTACGGGCCTGAACAGTGTAATCGGCCATCAAGTCTCTGTACCTTGTCCCCTCCAAATACTTTCTTTTGGACAAGATACATTCATGCAAACAAGTGTTAAGAGGGCAATAAAATACAATAAAAGTTATAAATCAGATTTAGTGTTTGTTGCAGTGAGCTTTATCCGGCATTAATGTTGTCTGTTGCATGTATCCGTCATTTGACCTTGACCTATAAATGTGACCTTGATATTATTGCTGTATGTTTTTCAGTATGTGTTGCTCACCTAGACAATCTGCTTTTTAGATCTTGTTCAAATAAAATAATATTAAATGCTATATTTCCAGAGTGCAATGTTAATACAGACATGTTCTATGTTCTGTCTAATGATGACGTTGACTGCTTGCCCATATGGGGGAAAACCCATGTTCTTTATATGGGTCTGCCTCATATTTGGAACGTTCTCTGGCAACTTTGCCCTCCTACCCACCGCTACTGCCAAGATATTTGGACCTGAATACGTAGCAATAAACTATGGACTGGTCTTCACTGCTCAGGTACAGAAATTTACATGTATGATGATTCAATCTTGGGATGGCCTGTTTGCATTGGTTCAGATAATCTTTTTCCTTGCATTTCTGGATCCAGATATTATTGAGTTGACTAAGATTTTTTCAATTATCAAGTTGAACATCGATAAACTAAATAAGTGCTCTCTTAAATTTGGCAAAATTAATCAATTCAAAGTTACAGAATTGGAAAATATGAGTATCTTTTGATATGCCTTTTTTTAATTCCAGGCTATAACAGGCCCAATTGGTGCATTCCTTGCCACAGCTCTTAGTGATACTATAGGCTGGTTTGGCATGTTCTGTATTATATCTGCATTTACATTCCTAGGTAAGTGAGAAAATATATTGTCAATAGTGTACAAACAATTCAGATGTAATAATTCCATAACTGGCAAAGGCTGGATGTATTTATTTCATGTGTGAGGTGTTAATACAAATATCCATACATACACACTAAACATGAGTCAAAGTTAAAATATCTAACCAATAATCCCTCCTTGACAAAAAGCATATAAGACCCTGGTTAAAGCTTTTCATCATTCTGATTTTACTATGATTTAGAAATGTCATAGTTCCTCATTTTCTGTAAGTATTGTGATAACATAAGAGGGGTTAGCACTATCTTGAAGAACTTGAATGTATGGTTTTTTTCTCCCTTTATTTGCCAAATTGAGAATAATGGAATTAAGATGGTACACCTGGAGACCTAAAAATTACTTTACAATCTATATAATGTATAGTATATATAACTTTATTTTATATCAAAATGACAGAACAATTATGTTTCATAACCAAACAAGAAAGTTGGTGTCACAGACATTTCAATGATTAAATTATAATTTCAAACTTTACACAAGGCCTTTAATGAAAATAGTCGGATATTGGTCTCTGGTTACTTATCCCTGGATCTCTGAACCCCAAGGGTCATGATAGTACATTTTCATGTTCGAGTCCTCCAAAATATGGGTAACCTAACCTCACTATCAACCTGCTACAATAACTTGTATTTTCAGGGTTTCTACTGACAATTACATTCAATGCTAAAACGAATGATGGGAAAGATATCTAATGAGACAATGCCACTGTAACAGTGCAGTATGTGTGGAATGTAATATGAGTACACAGTAAAACCAGTGTATATGTTGCCAGAGGCATGATGTAAAATTAAAGAGGAAACTGAAATCAATCAAGTGAAAGGAGTTATGAAAACAAATGTAAAATCTGTTACATTTTGGCAAGGTACTTAAATTGAGCAGTAGTAAAATGTCAAGGGCTGGCAAAAATGAATAATTCTCTGGTTTCAGAGAGATTTTAGAACCTGGGATTCAAGATGTGGATGCATCTAATAAGCATGTATTGACATCTAAGCCTGTCTTTTGATGATAATGAAATACATGTACATAGATTTTCTTGGATCAGTTTGACCCATGGAATAGGGGGTTGGCCATTGCTTCCTTTGGCATTTGAAAAATCAGAGAGCATAATAGATTAAACAAAGCATCACAAATGCTCAAAATCATAGAGCAGCGAGCACCTCTGATTGGTTAGGAAAGTAGAGAAATGTTGTGATAAGCTAGAGTGGGATAAGAAATTGTTTAAGAGTCTAGAAAAGGGTAACTACAGGGTGGGCCAAAAAATGCTACCCAATCTGATTGTAATAATAGGGGTAACATTTTGGCCTACCCTATAAATAAACAGGGTGAAACATTTTATCTCAGAAGATGGAATTCGTTACTCTTAAAGAAATTTTTTTCAACTGAACCTATAGCTATTAAAAATAAAACAATTTAAGAAAATATATTCCAACATGCAACTCAAATTTCATGAAATCTTTGCTGTATATTATCACATTTTCTGGATGTCACCCAATGATGGAGTCCCTCACCTCAAGTTTCTTTTTAAGATATTCCTTTTCTTTTTGTTGGCACATACAAAACCTTTCCCAATACTAGATCTTCCCACAAAAATTCAGTATATAAAAAGATAATATGAGGTTATATCACAGGCTGGTATCGAAAAATTTGTCTGCTGTGACGGAGCGTGCTATTTTGCATAGAATCACTAGGAAATCCACACAATTTATTTTTTTACTCATATGTTTTGCTATATCAAAGAAAATTACTGACTCCATGCAATGAATATATCATTTGCGGGTAACTTTAAATTCTGTTTGAAGTCCAACAACGCTAAGAGTAAAAGCTATTGAAAACGGCGTCGGAGTATCATACTCCAAAATGTACCATTTCTTTTATTTCTTTTTAATGGTACAATATAGCGACACGATAATATTACCATGTTTTCAGCTTAACTCTGAAGGTATTAATGAGATCTTTATGTATTGGGTATTTTTAATTTTTTTGATAAAAAATAATAATTAAATTTTTTGTCCGCTGTGACGGAGCAGTTTCAAATCTGAAATACGTTAAGAATTGAGATTCATTATATATTTCTTTACAACTAAACTTTAGAGGAGCGAGCGTGTCAAATCTCTTTCGTAAAGTATTCTGAAAAATGAAACGTAATAAAAGTACACAATTCAAATTCTGAGATGTATATACGACCACTCTTTAAGCTTCATTTCTCAGTTTGTACTGCAATCCAACTTATGCATGGTAACTCATGAAAATGATAGTCAACTTCCATTTCAGTAAAGGTTATTTGCCTTTCGTAGTGCCCTCTGTGGATCCATCGGCCTGACATGGTCATTTTTTACGGTAACTTGATTATTTGAAGTAAAATGATTTGCTGAAGATGAAGCTAAATACATATAATGGTATGGACTGTGGATTGTTCTACCCTCTTTAGTCGTTCTAAAAGGTAAGTTGAGTGTATCTTGAAATACGAAAATGCAAAATTTGATTTTAAGATCGTTCTTTATTTGACTAAGAGTTATGGCTATCTGATGCAACTACAGTAAAATATGTGTACAGTGAAAACATATGGAGCCCAAAAATGTGTTCCCAGTTGGTAGATATGTTCACTCAATTTGTAAGTTTAATTAATTAAACTTGATTTAAATTATGCAGCAACAGATCGTCTCAGATATAGGGCCAGCCTCTAACATTAAACCTACAAATCATTTGTCAAGGGGGCTGGCCTTATCTATGACAGATGTCATTCTCAGACACGTGTTCTGGTCTATGCTCCCTTCAGTTGCTTCTTAGCCTGCTAACTGGCTGTAATGATAAATGTTTGCTCGCTAATTTAAATAGGATTTATTGAAATAGGAATAAAATAACAAAATAAAATAACAAATAAGAATAACAAAATAAAAGTGCAGAGTCAAAATGCCTCCTAAATCCAGGAAGAAAGATTGTGAGATTGGAGAAGACATTCTTGTGCAATTTTGCGATAATATTGGACTATCATCAAATGCAGTTAAAACTCTGAGGAGTGAATGTTTTACCTCGAAGGAGGCCTTAGACTCAATGGACCTTGACGCTATCATGAGTCTAAACTTGCGTGCTGGGGACATATGTATTTTGAAAAAGCACATAGCATCAACAAAAGTCCAACCTTCCGTAAATGAGGATGTATCGCCCATGAATGAAATACCCATTTCAAAACTGTTACAAGGCCCACCTGGTACACCTATGCCTCAAATAGGACAATCACCGGATAGCAGCGTGACAAGTACCGCCGTACATGGGGCAGCCGCATCAATCTCCCCACTGGTTTACCTGATGCCTGTACAGGATAAAGCAGTAGGTGAGCTAAAAATAATTGATTTTATTGATAAATCAATAGAGATAAATAGCGACCAGGAGCTATCGATTTCAAAAAGAGGAGATCAAAATATTCTTGTGTCAAAATCCTCGAAGAGAGAAGATAAGATATCACCCTTTGAATGGGCTGTCGCAAATGCAAGGATAATGGCGAAACTGGTGCAGTCTGGAAAGCTTGCTACACAGGGTGTCCTGGAATACCAAGCATATACTGTTAAGATATTTCAACATGCCATTGCGTATGAATGGCAAGGTGTCCTGGCCCTCGACAGAGAATACCGCAAGGCACAACATATACATGGCTTCCCATGGGGAGCAGATCTCAGTCACTTGGATATAAAGCACCTTAAAAGGAAGCAAACCATGTATGCAAATAAGCCCCCAACACAATCTGTATCTGTGCAAAAATCGCAAGTTTTCCCATACCCCTGCAAGGATTACAACAGCGAGGTAGGGTGCTCACGCACTACCTGTAAATTTGCACACATCTGCGCAGATTGTAAAGGTAAACACCCTAAAGTTAAACACCCCTCATCAGAAAAAGCACCCCAGGAAAACTAATAAGCCCCTCTGCATTATCGCCATCAGGAAATTTAAAGTATGACTTCTGGAATATTGAATTATCATCTGATCATGACAAAGAATTCTTATTAAGAGGAATTAAAAATGGATTTAGAATTATAGACTCAAGCAATACAAAACCGACCCCAGCTGTATGGCCCAACCATAAATCTGCCGTTACTGTAATCAATCACTCAAAAGTGGAACAACAAATCAAACATGAACTAGCAGAAAATCGATATGTTATAGTGGACAAAAAACCAGTTATTATAAGTCCTTTAGGTGCAATTGAAAAACCAAACTCTGATTCTATTCGCTTAATCCATGACTGTAGCTTACCTCCAGGCCAGGGGATAAATGCTTATGCAACAAAAGACATATGTAATTATGAAAAACTCCAGGATGCAGTAAGTCTTATAACACCAGGGTGCTATATGGGAAAAATTGATTTGAGTGAAGCATTTCGCGCAGTTGGAATTCATCCAATGGATTATCCTTATGCTGGACTAAAATGGAAATTTTCTGGAAATATGAATGAAACTTATATGATTGACACTCGTTTGATGTTTGGTTCAAGGAAAGCCCCCTCTATTTTTAATAGACTCACCAAGGCAGTAAAACGAATGATGCATCGCAAAGGATACCATAACACTATTGTTTATCTCGATGACTTTCTAGTGGTATATGAAACATTTGAACAAGTTCAAGAAGCAATGACAGTTCTCATCCAGTTATTGCGTAACTTAGGTTTTGCAATAAGTTGGAAAAAAGTTATTGGACCTGTACAAAAAATCATTTTCCTTGGGGTCCAGCTATCATCATGCAGTATGTCTATGGAATTGCCTAAGGAAAAACTAGTGGACTTAAAACAAACATTGCTTATGTATCGCACTCGGCGTCGTGCCTCCCTAAAACAATTGCAGTCACTCGCAGGGAAGCTCAATTGGGCGTCCCAACTTGTAAGAGGAGGTAGAACTTACCTTCGTCGTATCTTACAAACTATGACTACACTTCGCAAAACTTCGCATAAGGTAAAACTGGACTATCATTTTTACCAGGACTTAGAATGGTGGATACAGTGCCTAGATACTTTTAATGGGAAGGCTCTATTCTTGGAGTCACTTCCCATAACAGATGTGCACATGGATGCCTGTGGAGTAGGAGCAGGAGTTTATCACCAAGGTGACTGGTGTTATACAAATTGGTCATCAGACTGGCCTGCGGCATCCTCTCTACATATAAACTATCTTGAGGTTATCACGTTTCTGATTGCTGCCAGGAGGTGGGGTCAGTTATGGACTAACAAGATGGTAATTATTCACACAGACTCTAAAGTAGCCATGTATCTGCTAAACAAGGGAACATCAAAGGACAATTTAGTGATGTCTGTGCTGCGTGAACTCTTCTGGTTGTCTGTTATGTACAACTTTGATGTGAAAGCTATTCACATTCCAGGACACCTTAATTGCATCCCTGATGCAATATCCAGACTGCACCAGGCTCACCAATTATCACGCTTAGACTGCCTCTTGTCTGAGGGACTTTATCCATTTTGTGGCTTGACCCCCCATAGTATCGTATATCATATGACTAAAACATTACTGCATTCTATTATTCCGCAGGTGGTCAAGTGGTGGAAATGGAAAAGCAATTGGATGAAGCTGTCTCTCGGTTCACAGACATGGCCTTTGCATCAAGTACCAAACGTACCTACAGCACCCATCGTAAATCTTACCTAGATTTTTGCAGAACAATGGGATATACACCTGTACCCGCATCAACGTCTACATTATGTCGCTATGCTGCATATATTTAGCAGAAACATTAAAAGCTAATTCTGTGAAACAATACTTGAACATTATCACAATCTTACATAAAGAACATTCTCTGGAGAGTCCTGTGTGGTCTAATTGGCATTTACAAATGGTCTTAAAAGGAGTGAACAGGGACCTAGGTACTCATGTTACAAAGAAGCTCCCTATCACTCCTCAGATTCTGTTACAAATTAGAACTCAATTAAACCTGAATGATCAGACAGATGCCAACTTTTGGGCTGCCTGCTTAACAGGGTTTTATGGAATGTTACGTAAATCAAATATAGCATGCCCAACAGCCACAGGGTTCAATCCCAGTAGGCACTTAACTAGAGATGATTTCTCATTATATCCCACTATGGGATTTATTGTAAACATAAGGTGGTCAAAAACCATTCAAACTCATGGTCGCACTTTACGTATTCCCTTACCATTTAATGATGGACATCCATTGTGTCCTG